ACCAGCCAATGAGCTCTATAGCTACTATAGTAAAGATCAGTAGAATTTATTATCCCCATATCATGCCCTATCACCATTCAAAAAAGGAAAATTTGTATCAATACTGAAACAGCACACCAACATTTGCAGGTTTGGGGATTCGACTATATCTGGTACTCCTGAGTTGAGAGAGAAATATCATTAAATTGCCTTGTCTAGAACAAAAGCGAATTGCACCCTGACTCCAGGTTGCGCTAACCATTTCCACGTTTCCACAAGAACAACAGACATGTTATCATTACATTAATTACAGCTACTATACATCATTTCGAACTACATATAACGTCGTGGTATTAATTATTATATAGAAAATTATATTATAGAAAAAAAAATAATTTACCTCATGCATCTTTACATCAAATTCACTGATCACTTCTCTGTACATTCTAAATTCATGTGCAACAGCATTAGCCTACATAAAAGAAAAAAAAACACTTTAAACGTTCCGTTTCTTGACTCCTTTTAATAATATAATTGTTAATTAATACAGTCACCATTTAAATAGGTAAACATATTTTTACCATCAAATATCACTCATGCATCATGTGAACCATCTTCCTACTTTTATAGGCCCACAGTCGGGTATATAATATTGAGCACATACAATGACCTATTTCAGTCAAACTATATAATTCACATTTTAATGGAAGCAAGCACCCTTTGTAATTTATTATAAAAATCCATCACAAAGCGCTCTGCAGTAACCAATTTTAATGTTCAAAAGACAAAATATTAAAAAAAAATGTTAAAAAAATTAAATCTAAATAGGTCTACGATGCGATGAAACTAATAATTATATATTATTAAATTTAAAATGAAAAGTAAAATAAACTAAATCTCACCTCAGCCATCGAGGTAATGTTAAAACCTTTTCCACTATTAATAGCTTCCGTATATACCTAAAACATACATGAATTATAGAATCATACAAAACGATAGTATTGGCCTGTATTTTTTGGATTCCCGTGTTTACACTTTAGTTCGAGGGTTTTCTTCGATTGTTTTCCCGTTTTCTCTGTTTTCTATGTAATTTTAATGCTTGTTATTTGTGCTTCTCCTTTCTGGAGGTTTTTAAATAAATTGAATTGAATTGAAAATTTGTTTATCATGCATACTCAACAATAACTCAAAAGGCATTCTATAATAGGTATTTTGTGATAATCATTAAGGTGTATTTAATTTAGTCACCATTAAGTTGTTTCTAAAAAAAGTAATTTTTTAATAAATTAGGATGCAGCCTCATACACTCATACCTTAAATCCTTTATGTAAGCGTTCACATGTCATTTCTTTGCCATCCTCATGATCGATTACTTGGACTTGAGATATTTCTGATTTAAACAGAGTATATATCAAATTCTTAAAGTGCTGTTGAAATTCTTCATCTGTGTCTGAAAATGAAATAATAATTAAAAATAATAAATGCTGGATTATACTAAAATAAAACAATTAAAATTCATCAAGTTATAGTGGTAATGTAAAGAAGGAAACGAATACTCAAT